TTAAAATGTATGGGGTAGTAATATTATTTTTAAGTTTTAGTTGGGCGTAATGTAAATGGTAAAGAACCGTTTAATAATGTAGTCTGTCTTTTTATAAGTTATAAATCATAACAGAATAAGAATACCATACCAACGACGATGCCAACTAAGTGAAATTAGTCAACAAAGTGAAGAATTGGCTATAACTCGAACTTTTCAAAATAAACATCTTATACCTTATATCGCTGAAAAGCTTAAAAAATGGCGAGTTTTATGAAGTCATGGCCAACTATGGTTTCCTATGTCAAAAATGACAGGCTTTAGAAAAAATCAGAAAACACAAACTCATTATATGTATGTATGCGATTATCTACAACTTTTATCTGAAAACTTTTGTCTAAAATATATTATAATCGAATTAGAGACAAGTTTTAAAATTGCCAAAATTTGTTCTTTTAGAAATATCTAATAAGCCATGAACTTTTTCAAAAATCCGAATAGGCGCATATTTATGACCCCACAAAACTGCAATTCTTTCTCTATTTAACCGACCCTCTATCTGCAGTAGTTTCCGAGATATTCATAGAGAACATCGTAGGAAACTTACCCTGTATGATATACATACGTGTAGTAAACCGATCATTTATGAATTTCACTTAAAATTAACTAATTATATATTTTTTCTTGCATTCTTGCTTTGATTTACTACTTATCAAAGATGAGATGTCAAAAAATTTAGATACGTCAATTTAACTTACCTGCTTTAGTAGCGTTTCGGATGTTCGTGTTAATAAATAATTATTATAACTTATCTATTTTTATTAGAATCGTATATTTTTATAACAATTTTAATAACTACCAACATTTATTGATAACATAAAATAAAACAACAAATTATTGAGTCTACCCTACATCATATTTTTACACGTTTTAAATAAAATTAGAACGGCACTGATAAAGCGGAATTTAAGTCGGCCATTTTAGGACTCCGTTGCGGTCGATCTAAGATCTGTGATATGCTCCTTCCTTAACTCTTTTATTCAAATATTAGACGTTATTGTTGATTTGATGTTACTTTTTGTCAGCCCTGTAACTTTTAAAAGGTTATATATATTTAAAAATTATCTTTAAAAATCTTCCAATAATTGTTACTACATCAACCCTTGAACGTTTAATTTTTCTAATGGAAATTTGAGCAAATGCCCGGCTGGTTTTCTTGTTCAGCAGAGTACCTTGATCTAATTTCCAATAATGTTAGAGTTTGAGGGTCGACTGTGGTCAACTTGATTCTATTCTTATGGTAATTGATCCTTGACGAGACCTGTAACTTTAGCTTTTAGTTAACGAGAACGAAATGTTTCCTATAAAAGGTCGATGTGTTTCGAATCAGTTTACTCTTACGTAAAAATTCGATTGTTATACAGGGAGACACACCCTAGGTTGAAATATCTAGATAGGGGCTTATTTTGTTGAAAAGCAATTTTCTTAATTTAAATGGACACCCTCGTTTTTTCTTAAAAATTTACAGAGAATTTAAATTTTCTAACTCTAACTCTAAACCAACTCTAAAAGTAATGTTTTTTTAAAGATTACTTTTAGAGAGATATTTAACTTTGCTAAGATAGTTTGTTTTTGTTTTAATTTTTGTCACTACAAAAAATATTCTAAGACACTCAGCTAAAGTTTTTCCAACTAGTTAGAATATAGGAATATTTCATGGAATGGCAGATGGTATCCGGAAAATGACAAAAAATATAATTTACTTGTGACTTAAAATTACAAAATAAAGTGACACTAAATAACTCTCGAACACTCAGAAATGCTTTTTTAAAAATTTATTTATTAAAAAAAATGGTTTTAATACATGTGTATGCTATGATGGTTGACAATCAACTACTGAACATGGACAAACAAATAAAAAGAGACTGACAAATCCCATGGTAAAGAGTGGGACCGCGTTCCCGTAGCGCAACTCAGAACAACAATTTTGAAACCAATTAGCAGGACCATGGCAGGACGTACGTCTTTATTGCTATCTTTCTTTATTATGTGTCCTTTATATGAAAAAGAAAGATATAGGTATAAAACGTATCGTAAGACATTATCGCACATTCTGGCTGGCGGAAAATTTAAATTAGCCATTATTGGTAGTATTCTTTCATTCTGAAACTGAAAATTTTTACTGAAACTGATTTATATATATATATATATATATATTCCCTATACCACGTAAAGGGAACGTGGTGTAGGGAATAAATCAGTTTAAGTGAAAATTTGCAGTTTCTTTCAGAACGAAAGAGTACTACTGTTATAAGCGAAATTATAAAAAAAGCAAAAATTGTAATGTTTTATAAACATATTTATTTATACATAAAAATAAATAAACTTTTTATAATATAATAACAAAATAAGTGTTTATTCCACCCACCTACCAATTTTAAATGCAGAAGAACTGACTGTTGCAGGAAACAATCGGCCAATTTTTTTAAAGGGCATTAAAAATCTTATTTTCGAAAAAACTGCCTAATAAAATTGCAATAACAAAGTGAATATCCAAGCAAAGAAGACTTTACGAGAATCATGATCCTGAACCATTTTCAAGTCCAGTTTTAATCCTAAAACAAAAGTAAAATAGGTATATTAATAAAGTTTCTGGTTACTATAAACCAGCCATAAAACTACCTAAAAAATGAAAAAAATTAATTGTATTAATTTGTTATGTTAAGAGAGGTTCGAAATATTTTTGACACTACTACTTCTACTTTTTTCTTAATAAGATGATAAATATAACTACTTACTTTTATTTTACCGGGTGTCTTTAACATATCTATCAGAGAAAGGGGACACCAATACATATAAAATATAGATAATACTGGCTCCTGCAGCAAATAAAATAACAAATAGTATAACCGAAAATTATAAGTAACAAAATATAAATACCTATATGGAACAAAGGAATTTGTTCCCTATCCATATTCATAAGTCAATAAAATGGAGAGTTTAGAAAAAAAGCTAAATCACCAAAAGAAAAATTAACAAACATGACGAATTGTCATGATGTTGTCATCTTGGTTGTCATAATGACGAAAACGAAAGGCGATTGTTCTAATTTCTATTTAGAAATTACGTTTTATATGGTTGCTTCTTTCTCTCTTGTTATATTAGAATGAGATAGTGGGCCCAATAGACGCAATGCGCAGATCAACATAAATAGAACGAAATTTTGCGTTCTGAGTTGCGCTACGGGAACGTTGTCCCTCTCTTTGCCATTTAATTTGCCAGTCTCTTTTTATTTGTTTGTCTATGCTACTGAATTAAATGAATTAGAATAAAAAGTAAAAAAGTATATGTCAGCATAATTGTCTTGGTGGGAACGGCTGTTTCTCTTCTTCTTATTGAAGGATAGGAATATTCTGATATATTTCACTGTCATGTATTAATACTTTATTTTTCTAGAATAACATAAATCATATATAACTCCATAATTCTATATGATATGATATACCGATTGTAATAAACGTTTAAAAAGATTAATTTAGACTTAAATAGCGGTTTCAGGATAATTTAGGCTATTAATTCTTATATAAACTATGCAAACTTTATTAGTTTAAAACAATAAAGAGTTTTTTAGCCAACTAGTCAAAAGATACTCTATTCAGACATATATGATATTATGCCTACTGATAATGTCATATCTGATTGGGGTGTTTACTGTTACTAATTAGACATATAATATGTCAAACAATAATTTATATGTTGTTGCAATATTATATTACACTATTATTACAAAGTGCTCCTATAATAAACAATACTAATGGACAATTTGTACAGTTAATGATACATATAGTTATACAGGGTGTTTCAAAAAAGATGTGCAATCTCTCTTGGGGAGATTCCTCACGTAAAAATAAGATTTATATTTCATATCAACATAGGTCGGATTCTGCTTTGTTTCGTAGCTACAGGGTGTTAATGTCTTAATATTTTTTCGATTTATTATAATTTTCTTCAAAATACTGTTAGTGTTTCAAATGAAATTTTGAGGGTACAAACTACTATAAATGCGACATATTCTAAAGCTAAAAAAGTGTCGACATATTCACCAGTGACATGCATATAGGTTATTACTGGAATATTTTTCTAAAAAAGGCATGGACGCCACTGACTTTTCTTCTCTTGTTAGCAAAATAGTGTAAGCAGTTTAATGCCGATTAAAGGTTGTCTCTTGATATCTTGTCGATGATATTTTGTCCTTCCTGACAGGATAAATGCAATTTGATTAATTTGCTTTGATATAAATTTAACAGCAACTTTTAAAAACATTTAAAATCATTAATTTACGAAATATTTAAATAAGTACTCATTGATTCCTCATCAAAAGATATAAAAAATTTCTATAAATATGGGTATGGAAATGCATAGTTTTAGAGTTACAGGATGTTAAAACTTTTTAAAATTAGGTTCTTTGTAATTATTATCTTATAAGTTACCATTATTTTTCTATTTGAAATTGCTGTAGGTTGGACTAATAGTAATAATATTTAATAATAAATTAGGTAAAATATATAATTTGTTAATTTTATTTTAATTTTATTAATTGTGATTAATATAATAATTGCGTTTATCTCATCAAGGAGGCCGAATTCGACAAAATAATAAGAGATAATTTTTAATGTACATTAAAGGGTCTACACAATTTTGATATTAAAACGCTTCTAAGCATCATCAAGATACTTTTTTCAGTATTAAAATATGTAGCACTTATAGCAACTTTTACCCTCAAAATTCAATTCGAATCACTAAAAGAACTTGGAAAAAAATTATAATAAACACAAAGAAAAAATAGCTGTAGCTACAAAACAAAACAGAACCGGATCTATGTTAATATAAACAAATAAATATTATTTTTACGCGGGGAATCTCCACACGAAAGATGGCACACGTTTCTTGAAACACCCTGTATACTAACTCACACCCATATCGAACCGAAATATTTTCAATTTTCTCATTTTGCTCCCCAGGTGGCGATAAGTTTCGCCATACCCCAAGCCCTCCCCTTGAAGCTGACAGGCAAGTGCCCCCTGTGCCTGCCCACCGAGCCAGTGATGGACCACTCGTTCGAGATCTCGACGTTCGTCTTCTTTCTGGCACCGATGACACTCATTACCGTGCTCTACATCCTGATCGGATCCACGCTTAGGACTTCGAGCATGATGAAAACTAGAAGCGCAAACTATAGAGCGCATAGCAAGTCGTCGAAGAAAGTGGTCAAAATGCTGGGTAAGTAAAAATTGTTATTTTTCTTAATACGATATAGGCTGATTATATGTGACGTCATGAGAGTGGGCGAAGATTCTTAAAAATCTTTTTAAATAAAGACTTGACTACGTTACTATGCACTGGACGTGCGTTTCGCTAACCATGTTAGCATCAGCAGGTGATTAAAACTAAACTAATACTACAAATTGAGCGTTTGTATACCCGCTCAGTTGGCTCCGAGTAGGTGTGGCAAAAAGACATTAATCGTTTCAATGCATCATTATTGATGTACCATTTAGAATTTTCATCCCTCAATCGAGGCCATTTTGCTATGATAAGTACCGTATGATCAAATAAAAAACGGCGTCAAAGACGACTGGGGATTGACAATGGATGGTAATTTTTAGACATTCGGCAATGGATATTCTCCTTATAAGTTTGCGATTTCTGCAAATTCGACTTCTCAAATGGAGAAAGATACGTCATACATTCTTAAAAACTAGCCAGACGAGTGAAAACCAACCGAGAGGAAAACCACTAGAGTAATAATCACAGGGGACTGGAAGGAATGGGACCCTTGTCTCCGTTCATATGATTTTTGTGTTTAATAATTTTGACGTTCTCATATGCATTTAATTGCCTGCAATTTGAGACTTGTTTAATTAATTTTAAATTATTAGTATGTATATGTATATGTAATTGTCCGAAATGCGGTAAAATCTAGGATAAGCGGGTTAAACCTAGGATTTACCAAAAGCATTAACTAATTAGGTTAGCCTGGTTACTTGGAGGGTGTTAATGCATTGGTTAGCCTGGTAATTTGGGGGGTGTTAATGCATTGATTAGGTGGTTATTTGGTGGGGTTGGTTGATTTTTACTACCACTTGCTTTTAGTAAATCCTAGGTTTTACTGCATTTCAGACATTTACAGTAACATATACAATGATCTTTATCGACAATATGTTGAGTAACGAAATATTTTACATGAAATCTCATAAACACCTGACCTTTCCAGTGGAGATGTTTTATCTTTAGAACTACCACCTAATTGTAATTTATTGTTAGCACTATACACAAGTTTATAATTGACATTCTTAAAAATTCTTTTTAAACCACTTTTTAAAAAACGATATTGAAATATATTTTGACGTATCTTTCTCCATTTGAGAAGTCGAATTTGCAGAAATCGCAAACTTATAAGGAGAATATCCATTGCCGAATGTCTAAAAATTACCATCCATTGTCAATCCCCAGTCGTCTTTGACGCCGTTTTTTATTTGATCATACGGTACTTATCATAGCAAAATGGCCTCGATTGAGGGATGAAAATTCTAAATGGTACATCAATAATGATGCATTGAAACGATTAATGTCTGCTTGAGTTTATTTCAATAGAATGACAAGACAACAATGAATCGTTCATATGATTTATGTATATTGATTTTGGCTGTTATTGTCCTGTTAATGTAAATTAATTGATATACGTCGAAAATTATATTTGCTACTTAACTACAATTTTAACTTTAAAACATGTTTAGATTAGGTTTTGAGAATGGTTGTGGATGGATGAAATTATTTTTTTGTTGCTAACCTAGAAATGTGAAATTTGGTAAGTGATACCTTCTTATACTACAAGTATAGGGGAAATATCTGAATTTTAATCTCAAAAAATACAGTCTTTATTTAAAGTACGTTACCAATCTTTGAGGATAAAAGTTAAACAAGGGTATGCGCGGTTATGATTGTATTGGTGATGGTGAACAAATCTATATTTGTATAAATTTACTAATTTATACAAATGAAAAAAATTTCGACGCACTCAGTGATAAGGTGTTCTAGTATATCCCCATATTCCTCACAGGATCTGCATTCGCCGTTGTTTCTCAGCTTCACTTAGGTGTTCGTTGGGGAGACAGTGTCCTGTAAGAAACCTCGTTCTTACTTAAATCAGGGAAAATCTTCGATTTTTCTCTGTCGTAATTTCTCAGAAACTTTTTCGAGTGTCTTAGACCGTTGGAGAATTTCCATTCCAGGTTACGGATGGAGTCTTCCAGGTTCTTGAGTTCTGTTTTAAGTTGGTTTCCGCTTGGAAAGCAGAACAGTTCTGGTCCAGTTAATAGAGTATTCGCTCCTTTTCTAGCTAGATCGCTTGCATTTCATTGCCTTCTATCCCTTGGTGAGCTGGCACCCAGAGTAGGAGAACTTTATTTTCTTTGCCTAATTTGTTCAACTTCTTTAGGAATTCTTTTACCAACTTCGAATTGATGGGTACTGAGTTGATCGTGTTTAATGTTGCGTGACTATCGGATAAGATGGCTATTTCCATGTTTTTTTATATATTTTCTTAGATATATATTTTAGATGGTTCCTATCTAAGATAAATTGTATGCCAGGTAATTGTATTTGAGAGTTAATAAGCCTTTAAACAATTAAATAAAAATCCAGGTCTTTACTTAAAAAACAACGTCGTTGATGGTTCCAGAAAATGGTCGTAATGATTTTTCACGTCACCGTAAGATGAAGCCAAGAAAGATTCTTTGAGAATGTGTTTATGGCTCTTGTCAGTGTCAATTGTGATTTAAACTGTCAAAATAAAATTGTAAAAAATTGAAAACGAAAACCAGAAATTTAAGTTTTCAGCCATATTTCCATAAAAGACAAAGATAAACGCAACGTTTTCTAAGAGCCAACTTCACCCACATTTAACTCACTCAGTATGTCTTACCGTTTCCTAGAGCCCATTAATGAGAGTTGAATTTGAAACCCTCGTTGTATACTTTCAGTTCTTGATTTTCATGCATCCGTTGTCCGACGATACGATGCGATACGATATTAATTTTATTGGTTGAATTTAAAGACTTTGATTGGCTAGAAAATTACGCAGTTTTTAAATTTATTGCACTTTCATGCCTCTGTTCATCGGATATACGATTTGCTTGTGATTGGTGTCATTTTATATTTTCATTTCCATAACGATTTCGCTGTTTTACTAATAGTCTAAGAGCAACGTTTTCGAGAGAGAATTTTAAGAAAGCTGTTTTTTTAATATATCTTTTGCTATGCTCTCCTGATTAGAGTGTGGACCGTCTGGCTGCCAGTAGACCTTACGTTAGACCACTGCGCATTTTATCTGTATTCAATGTTTACTACAGCGCATCACAAATTCGCCCTTTATTTCAGGAACTAAGGAGGCTAGGACAAATCTATGTGTACTATATTTAGTTTCATAAAAAAGTAGCAAAGTAATGTAAAAATCGCATCATTGCATCTCTACTTTTAAACGAGAAATCAACAACCGCAATAGTCTAACGACAGCCAGACGGCCCGCACTTTAGTCAGGAGAGCATCGCAAAAGATATATTAAATAAGAGCTTTCTTAAATACTCGTTTTCCCGACGGTGCTAGAAGCTCTTGTAGTATTATATTATGGTTAGATTAAATTTGTCAAAAAAGTTTCAAAACGTCCGTTATCGTACGATCTTTCTCTGTTGACGGGCTGGAGTAAAAAATTTACGGATATAAAGTGGCGCGAAAACGCTATGACCAATCAGAGCGCCGTGCCGCGCCGTCGCACAGTGCTTCGTCCCATGGACAAAAATCAAAAAATAAGTTAAAATTTACTAATATCTGAATATATAATTTTATACTTATAGCAATGTTCAACCATCCTGTATATTATTTTTCATAAACAGCGTTTTTGTTAGCAAATATTTTCACTAAAAATAAATTTTGCGATCATTATCTCATCAGTGAAACGAATAACATTCATAGTAGTTCTGTATATTATGGAGTTAAAGGGTACGTACTTAATTGAAAGCCACTATGGATATTGTTAAACACAAGGTATGTACTTTAAATTTATTTCTAAATAAGTTCGTGATTGTTTAGTTTTTATTTATTTTTTAAGATGATTCTTAAATGGGTATAAAAATTTTACGTTTTCAAACTTCAAAAAGGCATTTAAAAAAACATATCAAAACATATCGTATTTATTGAATATTTTTGTTGCCATATTCATACACTTTTAATTTTTGTATAGTTCACCTGCGTCTGCTTGCGACGAACTTTATTTTATAATACTTTTCAGATGGAGTAAAATTGATAAGCAATGCTGATCTGGCTAATACTTGGCTTGATCATAAGGACAAGAACTCAAAATTATTTGTATTTCAAAAAATATGTTCTTATTAGATATTGATGAACCTTCCAGTCAAATGAGACACCACTTGTGCCTGAAAAAGTCCACTATGTTGGAGCGAAACGTCGCATAAAAAAGTGTCCATCTTTCAATTTATTATAAAATCTCATACCCAAGAAAAGGAAAAAATAATATATGGATATGGTCTATTAAAGAGGTAACTATTAACATCCGAACCCCTCATACCGACAAAATGAACAGTAACAACCCGAAAAAGTAACATATTAGAAAATGATGTACAGAAATATCTTATATGTGAGGATACTTCATCTACCTGTGATTTGGATACTATAAATTTGGAAGATTCTGTCAGCAGTGATTCTCCTGAATCAGAGTAGTTACGATCTATGCATTTTGTTGTCCTAAAGTAAATTTATAGTATCTTAAGTTTTTTTTTAATTAAATATAACATTAATGTTTCTTTTTCATTAAAGAAAAACATTTTTATCTTATATTAGGCTTATATTGTAGGAATCATGTTCTAATAATATTTCAATTCTTTTTTATCACAGGAATTTATTTAATACTTACACCGTTTTCATACTATAACTTATTATTTGCTTAGATGGAACACAGCTCCAACATTATTATTATTTATAAGATTTTTTTTCATAAACGTGGGACTAAGAACATCATCATTTAGTACAATGAGAGTACTCATTTGTGTCAAATAAACCTAGTTTGAATAAATTGCTTACAATAAAAGAGAAGTTTTGGATTTTTGTCCTCTAGAGCCATATGTTCGAAGCACTGTGCGTCGTACCATCGTATGAACGGATAACGGATGCATGAAAAACAAGCTCCAATCATTTTATAAATGATC